CAAGGCCGCGAGGGAGAACCTCGTCCGCGAAGGCGGCGCCGTCATCGTCGGTGTACCCGGCCATGCCGCAACGGAAGGGTCAGAAGCCGCTTAGAGCAGTGCAGCATCGTAGTAGTCAGGCGAATCCTAGACTCCTGAGAGAAATCCATCGAGCTGTTGACCGGTCCTTTCCCATGTCTACTGATACACAAGCGGTATACAATTGCGGTCCGTCTCACCTCCCCTCACGCGTCCTTTGCCAGGAGCTCCTCTACGATCTGCACGGCCCGCTTGAACTTTGCCTTGTCCTCGTCCGTCGCCTGCACCGAGCTCTGTCCGGTCCCGCACCCCTGAGGCCCGCCGTTCTGCCACATAAACTCGTCGCACCCGAACGCGATGCTCGTGTCCAGGCCGTAGATGTCCTCGCTCCCGGGCGGAGACTCGGTCGGGATGGACTTGAGGATGCCCTTGAGCTCGTTCACGAGCGCGGTGGTGTGCGCGTCCGTCGCGGAGATGGATTTGGGGACGGCGTCCTGGAGGGAGGGCGTGCCCTTTGGGCGGTGGGCGCTGGTGATGTTGAGCAGGTTCTGCGAGGGGATGCCGGTAATGGTGACAATGGCCTCTGGGGTGGGCGGCGCGAAGCCGCCGGTGATGCCTGCAGACGAGGACGGGGTGAGTGAGGACAGATGCGATGTGATACGATGCGATAGGACGCGTACCTCGCTGGAGACGGAGGGAGAACTCGGGGATCGACATGGGAGATGGCGTGGATGGATGAACGGACGGGATGTGGCAAGGAGAGCGGCTGGACAGGAGAGCAGATGGAGGGAGAGGACAAGGAGGAGGGTGCGATACGGAGAGGCGGAACGCGACGGGGCCAGCTTAAGAGGACGGCTGAGACGCGGTGGCGCAGAGGTCACTCGCTGCGCCGGACCACCGTGACGTCACGCACCCGTCCGAATGCGGTTTGTCCAGCTCCCGGGACCCGGGGTAAGTAAGTACTGTACTATTAGCAAACCACACAATCCTCTTTGAAGCTCAGGTTGTACATCGTCTTGTCCACCGTCTTCTCGATCTTCTTCCAGTCCGACCGCCTCTGGATGAACTCGTAAATGTCCTACAAGGCCCACCCCACCGTCAGTTGTCAGCTTCTCCCCGCCGTAACACACGACCCGTCGCGACCCACCTCTGGACGGTACGCGCCCCCGTAGCGCGTCACGTCGCGGACGATCTGCGCGAGGTCCTTCGCGTCCTCGACGACATACACGTGCCCGAGCATCTTGAGATACGCAAACTCGGACGTGATGCTCGCGACGCGCAGGGACGCGATGAACGCGTGGTACGCGTTCAGGTCCGCGATCACCTGGAAGCCCCCGTTGAGCGAGATGATCTGCCGCTTCAGGTGTTTCTGCAGGATCCTGCACACGCGCGCATGTCCGGGTCAGCGCCAACGGGTATCGGAGAAGGGGAAGGGGAGACGCACGCGATGAGGCGGATGCCGACTTCCTGGTAGAACACCTCGAGCACCTCTTTGCTCGTGCTGCCCTTGAGCAGCTGACAATGCATCTGCAGACACTTGATCGCCTCGCGACACCCCTCCGTCGGCCCGAGCTCCAGCGGGCTGTCTTCGGGCGGGTAGTACTCGCGCGGCTTCGTCAGCTTCATGATGATATGCTCGACCTGCGCACGACGAGACGCGTGAGCAGCGAGGACGGGCAGAAGGGGCGAGACGGACGGACCTGGTTCATGAGCGCGTCCGTCGCGGCGTTGAGCCCGCCGGCGACGCAATCGTCGAGCACATCCTCAAAGTGCTTCTTCTCGCGCACGACGGTGTTCAAAAAGTCCGTCTTGTCTATATGCGGCGCCTGGCAAAGCCACAAAGCCGTCAGTGATCAGAGCACAGCGCGACTGACCGAACGCGCGACGCACGAGCTCCTTGTCAAAGTAGACCTGGATCATGGACTGCATCGTGTCACCGATATGCACGAGCTCGAAGAACTGCAGGAGCGGCGCGACGCTCTTCGTGTCGTGCTCTGCCGGCTTGTACGTCTTCATCTGCTCGATCGCCCTGCGCACACCGTCAGCGAACACACCACACTCACACAGACACCGCCACGCACGTCTCGAAACCAGGCTTGATGTGTCGCTCGCCGAGCGCCTGCAGCAGGAGCACAAAGATCTCCTCGATCGTGTCCCGCACGCGGTGCCCGTACGTGCCCGGGTATCCGGAGAACGTCTCGACGCGCTTGAGGGACTCACGGTCGGCGTGGATGAGCTCGAGCGCGGTGTCGAGTGAAAGGAGGAGGTCGAGGCTGTCGAGGCCTGGCGGGTTGACGGTGGTGGTGGTGTTGTTCGAGGCCGAGGTCGAGGTGGGCGTCGAGACGCGGGTGGAGGAGAGGGAGGTCGGGGCGGTGCTGGAGGTCGAGGAGTCTTGAGTGGTAGAGGCCGTGAGCGAGGCTGCAAGACGTTCAGTCAGCGTCCCCTACAGTACCGTTCTCAGCGGAAAACATACACCGCGCGGTTGATACGCTCTCGGGACGGTTCTGCTTCTCGTCCGTCGTTTCCTGGCCCTTTTCCGCGGGCTCCTCGTCCTCCTCGTCCTCCGCGCCGATATCAAACAACGTCCCGTCGCCGCCCTTCTCAAAGTCCCTCACATATCCATCCTGCCGCGCGCCCCCCGCCCACGAGCCCATCCTCGCAAACGGGAACGCGCCCCCTCCCCCTCCCCCGCCCGCCCCCGCACCACCTCCTCCTCCGCCCGCAGCGCCCCACCGCTGCGGATTGAGCATCGCGATGCCCTGCACGGCGGCCGAGCTACCAGTAGTGATCGCCGCGCCGACGGCCTTGCCGACCGTGCGCGGGACGATGGTGACGGGAAGGAGGAGCACGTCCGTGAAGGACGCGAGCACGTTGCGCTTCACCTGCGCGGGGTTGTGCGAGCCGAGGAAGCGCGCGGTCTCCGTGCTCGGGGGCGGCGCGTCCGCGGGCGCGTGGTGGTCTGCGAGCTGTGGGGCGCGGGGGGTGAGCGGGGGCTAAGCGCGGGAGGGGAGGGGAAAGGGCGGCGCACCTGTTTTTCCCAGGAGCGGCAGGTCATCTCGAAGCTCTGCTTGACGAACTCGACCTCCTCGTCCAGGTACTCGTCCATGTTAGGCTCAAACATGCGGTATCTATGCTCTCGCTCAGCGACCGGGCATCGAACGCGCGCGCGACGACACGACTCACATGACGTCCTCGGCCTTCGTGCGCGGGAAGGCAGGGTCCTTGGCGGCGGCGACGTGGACGACGGTGTCGACCATGCGCCATGCCTCCTTGAAGCTCGCGGCGGTGGCCTTGAGGAAGACCTCGTTGGAGATCTCGCGCGCGCGCGTGAGCAACGACGTGATATACTCGCCGACCTGCGGGAGCGGCGGCGCGTGAGCACTCGCGCGACAGGGAAGCCTCGGGCGGGGGACTCACCACTTCGTTCGCGAGGCGCTCGGCGAAGGCGATGAGGACGTTCGCGTCTGGCGGGAAGACGCGCACGGCGCGCGAGCCGTGCTCCTCGAGCGCCTTGAGGATGTCCGCGATGAACTCGTCCATGGCGGTAAAGTCGAGCTCGGACTCGTTGCTGCCCATCCGCGTCAGCACGCGCGCGCGCACGCACACATGGAGGCAAGGAGGACGTACGTGAAGTTGTCGAGGGGCTTCCACTTGCTCTGCTCGTAGAAGATCTCGCGTTTCTCCGCCCAGACCTTGCCGAGCTCCCACTCGCTGCCGGGGCCGTCCCAGACCTCCCAGCTGGCCTCGGCAGCCTCGCGCATGCCCTGCTCGTCGTTCTTGCCGTCCGCGACGTCGAATGCGGTGAGAAGCCCGTCCTCGAAGCGGTCTATGGCGGCGCGGAGGGCAGAGGCGAGGGTGTCCCAGTTGCGGAGGGGCTTGACGTCTGGGGAGAGGAAGCGGGAGAGGAGACGAAGGGTGTGGGCTTGTCTGCGGAGCGGGGGCGCGGGGGACGGGAAGAGGCTGGAGAGGACGGCGTGGGGCGGGGCGGAGAGGGCGGGGAGGAGGGGTTTGAGGAGGGAGTGCGCGCGGATGTAGAGGGCGCGGAAGGACTTTGGCGGGGGCGCGGTGAAGGCGGCGGAGCGGGGGGAGACGGACATGGAGAGCGAGAAACCACCGTTGCTACCGACGCCGCCGCCGCCGACAAAGTCGCCCATCTCGTCAGGCTGGGCATCGTTCACAGACGCAAAGTCTCCAAAGTCGTCGTCCGGGGCAGACTCGGCCTGCAGGGTAGGCGGGGCCTGACCGCGCTGCGCAGCGTTCCTGACCCGCGCGCTGTCGTCAAGGGCGTCGAGGACGGCGTTGAGATGGGGCTGGTTGTGTATGGCGAAGGCGTTCCAGCGGAGTTCCCATACGCGTTCGTCGCGTGCGAGGTTGGCGAGGGCGCGGGAGACGCGGGCATAGGCGGGAATGTCGGGAACGGCAAGGTGGGCGAGGATGAGGATGTGGACGTCGACGGGGAGGCGGCCGATGACCTGGAAGGGGGCGGGGCCGGCAGCTGGCTTGAGCGTGGATCGAGAGAGTGGGTGAGGAGGACGGGCGAGGGATGGCTTGTGGAGGGAGAAGCGGTTGGAGGTGGGCTGAGGTGAGGAAGTGGGAGCAGGAGAGGAGGCGGAGGAGTGGTAGAGACGGACGGGCTCTAGGGTCGCAAACTTGTCCATCGCGGCGTGAGCTCTGGGTGGTCCCTATAGAGTGAGCTTGTAGGAGGACGAGGAGGAGGACATGGTCGTGGTCGTGGTAGCGGTCGGAGGCGGAAGAGAGACGCGTCGGATCATTCAGTTCATCCGCAGTCACGCTCTCATCCATTCACTCTCTGCTCAGCTGCTATCATTTCAAGGCGTGTACTGTATATCGTTCCGGTACGTTGCTGGCGAGTACGTCCGAGTCCCTGAAGGCATCCGTCATCAGCAGTACCAATAGTGCGAGGCGGTAGGAACACAGGTGCAATGACACCACACAGCACAACAAGCAAGGCTGATTGCAACGGCCCAATGGTCTAGAGGTAAGATACTTGCTTTGGGAACCTCTCACTTGCAAGGGATCCCGGGTTCGAATCCCGGTTGGGCCCTCTTTTTCCATTTGGAGAAATGCCGGGCGGAGTGCGTCATTCAGCGTACGAGCTGCTTTAACCAAACGTATACCCCGCGCTCTCACCTCCACTCTCGTCCTCCGCCACCTCCCTCCCGCACGATGTCTGCTGCGCTCTCGACAACGACATAATCATCGAGCTCGCCCTTCTCTCCATGTTCTCCGCCCTCCGCCTTTCTCGGCGGCCTTCTCTCCTACCTCCTCACTCGCCCTCATCCTCCTTCGCGCCCAGACCAACCTTCCGATCCACTCATCCCCTCCGCTTTCCCCATACCCTCTCCGCGCCCTCTCAGCCTTCTCGCACACGCAAATACGCTCGTCGCTCCGCATATATCATCCTCGGCCTCGGTGTAGCGTACGGACTAGACCGCCAATTCAATGCTTCCGCCATCACCAGAAACGCCAGGACGCTTTGGACAGTCCGTGTTCCCTCCTTCTCGCGCCCGTGTCCTTCCTGACCTCTCGCCGCGCATGACAGTGTATCGTCACAGCTATAGATTACAAGATCAACTTTACGCCAGAAAAGGCCCACAAAATACCCGAGCTCCAAGAACGCGTCGCTGAACGCATATACGACCTCCTCACCTCAAACGGCGGCCTCTACATCAAGATCGGTCCGTTGTGCCCTCTGTACATCTCCGCCATCCTCTAATCTATTACGTTCACAGGTCAAGCCATTGGTAACAACGCCGCCCTACTTCCTAAACCGCTGCAGGAAAAGTTTAGCAAACTCTTCGACGATGCACCGCAAGTCCCCTACTCCGTCGTCGACGCCGTCTTCCGCAAGGAGCTCGGCCGCCCTCCCGCAGGTCCCGACGGCATCTTCGAAGTCTTTGAGGAGCAGGCCGCCGCTAGCGCCAGCATCGCCCAGGTCCATCGCGCCAAACTAAAGACAGACGACGGCTCCGAACAATGGGTCGCCGTCAAGGTCCAGAAACCCGACGTCAGCAAACAGGTCGAGTGGGACCTCGGTGCCTTCCGCGCCGTCATGTGGATTTACGAAAACTACCTCTTTGACCTCCCCGTCTACTTTGTCGTCGGTTAGTCGCCTCCAGCGTATCTACTGTCACCTTCTCACGCGTTCACACAGACTTCATCTCGGATCACCTCCGCCGCGAACTCGACTTTGAGCTCGAGGCCAAGAACGCCCAGCGCACCGCCGAATTCATCGCCGCCGAGCCCCGCCTCGCCGACCGCGTCTACATCCCGCACGTCCATCCCGAGCTGTCCACAAAGAAGGTCATGGTCGCCGAGTGGATCGACGGCGTGCGCCTCAGCGACAAGCGCGGCATTGCACGCCTCATGGGCGACCCCGCGCTCGACCCGACCCCGCACGTCCCCCACCCCACCGCGGACCGCTTCCCCCGCCTCCGCGGCGGCGCCGAGTGGGTGATGCGCACCATGGTCGAGCTCTTCAGCGCCCAGATCTTCGACTGGGGCTGGGTCCACTGCGACCCGCACCCGGGCAACATCATCGTGCGCCCGCACCCGACCCGTCGTGGCGCCGCGCAGTTCGTCTTGCTCGACCACGGCCTGTACGTCCGCCTCGACGCGCGCTTCCAGCAGCAGTACGCACGCCTCTGGACGGGACTCCTCACGCTCGACTTTGACGTCGTCCGCAACGTCGCGGCCGAGTGGGGCATCGGCACGCCGGACCTCTTCGCGAGCGCGACGCTCATGCGCCCCGTGCGCTTCGCGCAGAGCGACCTGCCCGACTTTGAGCGCATGGACGACTATGAGCGCGGGGTCGTCATGAAGGAGCGCCTCAAGGGCTTCCTCACAGACACCGACCGCATGCCCAAGGAGCTCATCTTCATCGGCAGAAATATGCGGTCCGTCCCCGCCCGCCTCCCTCTCTTTGCGTCCTTCTGACTGACCTCCCTCCTACAGAATCGTCCAGGGAAACAACCAAGCCTACGGCTCCCCCGTCAACCGCATCCGCATCACCGGCTACTGGGCCTCCCGCTCCCTCCTCACCCCCCACCCTCTCTCCCCCACGCCTTCCCCCTCCCCACTCTCTCTCATCTCCCGGAGCGCCCTCGCCGCTCGCCTCCGTGCGCTCGCCCAGTATCTCGTCTTCCGCGCCGTCATGCTCTCCTCGGACGTGCTCTTCTGGGCCGCACGCGCGCGCCAGTGGCTCGCGCGCGTCGTCCTCCGTCGCGCGGGCGCGGGGAGCGGGGATGGGTTCGAGGACGGGCTCGAGCGGACGATGCGGGATTTCGCGAAGGAGAACTTTGGGGTCGACATTCCGGAGAACGTGTTCGACGGGTGAGGCCGCGCGCCCGGGGGGTTTCGTCAGGCGACAATGGGTTATGGTGTGTAGGGACAGGGATAGGGATAGGTATAGGTATGTGCGTGCGTTTCGTCGTTCGTGGGGTCTAGAAGCGACGCCGATGCCGATCCCGCCCGTAGTTATCGTACATCGTACATATAATGGCACACTGCGCCACGCAGCTAATCATGATCCTCCGCGATACTGGGCGTACTGTACGTGTACATATAGGTCCTCAACGATGCGCCTTCCGCGCCGCCCGCCCACAGGCCTCGAGCTCGAGGCTCATCGCACGCTCGCGCCGCCCGCACCGGTTCCTCGTCGCCCCCGGCACCGCCGCGGACACTGTCTATATAGCTACTTGGCCCTCCCTCTTCTCATCCAAACCCCCCTGGACATCTGTTTGCGCCGTCCCCGCCTCAACACCCGATCTGCGTCTGCCCAGTGCAGTCTCGACATAACACCCGCCTCGCGCGCTCGCTCTCTGCTCTGCGGCGGCGCGTCGGCAGCATTCCTCATCCCGTCCGCGTGCCGCCCTCGTCCGTACTACTACACAGCACACATTGGTACTTGCTCACGAGCGGCGTGCACTCCGCCGGCCGGCCGCGGGACACGGGCTCCCTGCAGCGCTGCAAAAGGCGGACCTCGCACACCTCCCGTTATACAGAAAACACTATGTACTGGACATGACTTGTGCAGCGGCGTGCACGACGGCCTGCGACGACGCGGGAGGTGAGGTGAGGTGTACATATGCGGCGGTCGCTGACGGTCCCGTCGAGACATGCCTGACATGCAGTTGGTCCTAGGGCCCTGAGGCCGAGCCTTGAGGATTGCACGGTAGACGACGCTACATAGCACCGCAGTGCGCGTTCGTACATACATACCAAACGACACCGCCACCGTCGACGCCCGTTCGGATCGTCTGAACCTGAAGATGCTCGTGCGCTTGCACTCCGGCCGCTCGCCCGTGTTCACCCAGGTCCTGGATCTTGAATCCTGATCCTGTCGCGGTGACATACCCGGCGGGGCGGCGTCCATCTGCGGCTGGGCGTGTGCTTTGGTGGCTTTCGGAGAGTACGGCTTTCAGCGACGCCCCGTCTAAGAGACCGAAGCGGACGCGCGCGCGCATGTGAGATCGACGGGCCCATCGCACGACCCATGTTCATGCACAGAGGCTTTCGTCGGAGCGTCGCAAGTGCACGAGCTCGAGCTGTGGCTACCGCCTTTGGTGGTCGCGGTGGATGCAGGGCGCCATAGAAGAGGTGAGCTGAGGCCGACGCTGACAGCAAGGACCGAGAGGACGGAGTGTACGTCGAGGTCGGGCGCAGCTGGCGCGCTGTAGTCCGTACCAGTACGACGCCGCGCTCTCGAAGGTGGTTAGACACACACCTTCGCTACGCCCGCCACGTCCCCAGGAGAAGACGGGGACAGAGCCTCAGCCGCAAAGGCGCGTGGGCTCTACGTATACCGCGTCCCCCGACCGCATCGTGTATGTTGGCTAGCACTGAATTGCCGCCTCAGTTGCCGTCCATGGCCTCGCCTGATGATCTCCAGATGTAGGCGGCGGTACGACTGGCTGATGCCCTCGGGACAGCGTCGGCGCGCGGCCGAGGAGATGTGTTTCGCGACGCTGTGGGCGTGTAGTCTAGATGCCCCGAACGCCGGGAGGGCTCCATCCGCGTCGTCCTTTGACATCGCGCGAAATACACCGTCGGGGAATACGTCGCAGTCGGCTGGACGGCGCGTTCGGTGATAGGTAGGGTGGCAAGGGAGCAGGGGCAGAAGCAGTGCCATGGGGTGGGCGCCTGACATACGCCGACACTGCAAATAGCGCATCATGCACCGGTTTTCGTTCATCCGGTCCTTCAGACCGTGACGACGTCGCGCACGTCTGGACGCACAGAACGTGCAACCACCGCTGGCGTCGATTTGCTCGAGCGGCGGGGGAAACGTGGTGGGGTTGCTGCAGCGCATGGCAATCAACGATCCCGAGGAAAGCGTCCGAGTCTCTCGGAAGATGCACCGCACAGTCATTCTGTGCATATGTAGATAGTCTGGACTTCCCAGCCTGATTGCCACATCGGATATGACCACACTCGTCCCTTGACCACCGGGAACTGACCTGTTTCGACGCAACAGTTGTAGCGAACGGTGCTATGCGATAATGACAAGACAAACTCACCGTCACTGGCATTGAGGAACAAAACGTCGGTACACCGGTATATGCTTGCGTCGTCATAAGGCTCCTGGACGAGGAGGAGCCCGAGCCATCGCTGGCCTCTACCGAGGGTGCCCGATTGATCGCTACATGCCAGTGCGCCACAGTAGAGGTTGTCGGCAGCGAAGGGACTTGACCCCGCGGGGAACAGGCGACGGAGTGGCAGTCGGATGTGGATGCCGTGGTGCGTCTGGTAGTAGTGCGAGGCCTTCATCGACGCCAGACAGGCGGCCGCGGCGAAGTCTTTGAGGACAACCGGCCGTATGCTGCCAGAGTGCGCGAACGCATCGGGAGAAGGGGCGAGCAGGGGGCTGTGCCCCGGGCAAGCATGAAGATGCCTCGGGCCAACCGTGCGCATCCAGCCGTCCACAACGGATGAGTCCAAGCGGTGGCCCCAGGCGAAGATGGTCTGGTCGGCAGACTGCCGGATGATCTGGAGCTGGAGGCGGCGGAAGGCGTTCGCGCCGCCTTCGCCGTACAGGATCGACAT